AAGAGTCCAAATACCTGACCTGGTCAGTGAGCCCTACGTGGTCAGGCCACTGATACCCTCACGCATTCCCTTCCTTGGTGTCCATGTTGGCTGCTTTTGTCCACAGGGACTTCGGGCTTCTGTTGCCTCAGAAACCCTCTGATACTTCCCTGGCTCTGCCCTGCTCTTCTGGTCTTTGCTCACTCATTCCCCCTGGGAAGCCCTCACGCCTTCTCTGAGCAGCCAGCACTCTCCCTCCCTCCAGGTCCTTGTGACAGTTAGGAGAGGTGCTCCTGTCTCCCAGACAACAAGGACCTCCTCCGGAGCTCACAAATAGAGACTTCATGTCTGCCAGCTTCTCTACTTGATCCTGAATCCCAACACCTGGCACCTGACCCACACTAAGCATTAACTAAGTATTACAAATAAACATTTGCTTCTTGTGTTCCTGGCTTCAGGAAGCCATGTGAATATGAAGCTAGAGGCTTCACTAGTCTGCGAGGTTAGGGCATATGAGAGGTGTGAGTTAATTTCTGGAAGGGAAGCATCCCCTTGATAGCACAGCAACTCCTCAGAGAAGAGATTTTTCTGTTTTGTTTTTCCCCTTTTTAGCAACTATTACATGCTCAGTGCAAAATATTCAACTGTTATGGCACAGGGTTTGACCAACGGCCGTACAGGCACCAGCTGCACACCATGTACCGTGGAACCTATCACTTGTAGCTGAACATGACACCTGGAATACAGCAGGAGCATCAGGAGGTCCTCGGAGGTGAAGTTGGGTGAGGCAAGGGTGGGAACAGTCAATTGATCGATTGATTGTTCTTAGACTAGGGAAGGTCTCAGCAGGGAGAAGCCTGCTGTAAAGGACTTTGCTGTTGAGCCAGGGGACTTGGACTCTGTCTGTGTTGACACACACAGGGTGAGTGTTGCAATCCCCAGGCTCCTGACAGCTGACTTCAGGGGACCGGGCCAGACCTCAGAGCCCCACCAAGTGTGCCAGGAGGGAAATGCTCTAGGCCTGAACTGCTGCGGGGAGAGATGGCAATCTTCCACAAGGTAAGCTCAGACACAGGGCTGTTCCAGATCCTGCTTCCTGCTCCGGGTTAATTTCCCAGTGATCACAAAGGTGGGTGGGCCCTTGGCTCCCTGCTTGTCATAGCCCAACCCCTTAATCCCAGGGTTTATGATTACAGAAGTGCAGGAAGGAGTCAGTCAGTGAGGTGCCTATCCAGGCTGTTCCCCAGATCTGGGGACGTCCTCAGACACTCTCTCCTGGATAGCAGTCAGGGGCTGAGGGTCTGGGACCATCCTGGATGCTCAAGGCCCCTTGGTAGCCAGCAAGAGGACACAAGTATTAGGTCAGTGCTCTGAGGGTGGGTTTGAAGCCTTGGGTCCTTCCTCAGGGTCTCAAGGCTGGGATATTTTGGGTGTTTCTTGCCACCTTAGAGGCCCAAAAATTTGCAATCAAGGGAAAAGGAGCCGTTGGTAAAATCTGTCCTTAGGAACACAGGATTTTAGCTGTCTCTGGAGGGGGACTCAAGGGCTGGGAACACATGGCTTGGCTATTGCACAGAGTCACCGCAACATACCAAGAAACCAAGAAAGTCAGCAAATAGAACAGAGGGTGGAGAAGAAGATGCTTTAAATATCAGTGCATGCTTGCTTGATTTATTAATTATTTTAGTTTGCTATAGGACATATGAGCAGCTCACCAGAGAGAGACAGAAAGAGAGGGAAAATGAGAAATCAACCCCTATCCCAGAAAGGGGATGGCCATGCTGCAATCCCCTCTCCTCCACTCTCCCTTCGGACTTCTGGAAACACGCACACACGATCAGTATGGGTTTTTAAGCCGCTGGGTCCAGGACTCAAACCATGCAGTTAGCTGGCTATGTGTGATCCAGTACCTTAACCTACCTACCACCTGCTGGCTTTATGTATGTTAAATTTTCTTAAATCCTCAAAGCAAGTCTATAAAGCAAGTTTCATTTTACCCTGTTCTACAGACAAAGAAAAGATGCTCATTTCTGAGTTAAGTGACATGCCCAAAGTTACACAGCTTGAATTCCTAAGTGGAACTGAGATGGTAGGGAAAAGAGTTAATAATCGAGAAGCAAAATAAAGTCAGCAAACCAGGGGACCAGCTATGTTGGGCGGTGATTAAGGCAGCTGACTCAAGTCATATGGCCATGGCTTGAAAATCGTGCTGGACACATGTGTGTATATGGCCAAAATCCTGAGAGGAGGATGGAAGAGAAAGGATTGTGGCATGGGCATCCTCCTTGAGGGTGTGATTTCTCACTATCCCTCTCTGTCTCTTTCCAGTGAGTGCATTAAACCTACGGCAAAAACCTAAAAAAAGAAAAAATAAATAAGCTTCTCTGGAGATAAAAGCCACAAAGCTAGGAGTCAAAAAGAAAGTCTTTTCCTCAGTGTTCTTTCAAAGGGATGTGGGAAAGTTACAAATCCTGTGCTCTGACAAGTGGTTTATAAAAAGCTAAAACAAGCTGCCGTTGGGCTGGAAAACTAACGTTGATCTGGGAAGTGTGTTGCTTCATATCCATGCTAAAAACCACACCCCGGGTGGAAACTTCAGATGCTAATACTTGGGTCCTCTTGCTGGCTACCGAGGGGCCTTGAGCATCCAGGATGGTCTCAGACCCTCAGCCCCTGACTGCTATCCTGGAGAGAGTGTCTGAGGACATCCCCAAATCCAGGGAACAGTCTGGACAGGCACTTCATTGACTGACTCCTTCCTGCACTTCTGGTAATCATGAACCCCTGGGATTAAGGAGCTGGGCTATGATAACACATGAGACATATGAAGATACATGAACAGGTGCCCCACCTACATGGCTAAAACTCCTCGCACATATGCGTTGGTCTCATAACTTACTTCCCAGTGCCCCAGTATAAGCCCTGACCCAGCTGGAAGGGGCTATGACTCACCTGAGGCAGTGTGCACTGACTGTGGAGGGTACAACTGTCTTGCAACACATTCTTCTGTTTTGCCTGCTTCTGACTTTTGAAATCTTTGCTGTGCAAAGTCAAGGATCCTTAGGAGGGAACCTTGCCTGAGCCTTTCCCAGTGACATCTTTTGGTGACCACAAAGGGACCTTCGGGAGACACCCCCATCCCAGACGCTAATAGTCAGGTGAGTCTCCTGGGTGGGTATTTTGGCATCTTTCTTTCTGCTGCCTGACCTTTCCTGTCTTTGGCCTGCCTAAGAGATGTGGTTTAGGTTTGGGGCTGCCACCAGTCAGGGCTCCCACCAAATACACTGCACCTGGGATGCCAGACTAGGAGCCAGAGGCTGAGGGACACCTCTAATGGACTCGGTCACAGAGCCAACATCCGGGTTGGCACTGACACTGATTGCCCCAGATGCTCAGTGCCAGGTACTTTCCCAGACCATTCATCTGGATTTCTACCCTGAATCTCCTCTGAACTTGTCTGCTGGCTGGCCTCTTATAAGAGTGGCCATGCGGAGGGAGAGGGCTGCTGCTACCTGCGTCACGCCTCAGCCTGAGCGGCTAGGGTAGAGGCTACGCTAGGTCCTCTTTCCTCTCCTAGTCTACCTGCTGCATCACTGTCTACACTGCTCTAAAATTAGGTAAGATTCCATGAGAGGATGTCCATAACCCCAACTCCCAGTTCTGAGGGAGGCACTACAGCTCCCCCACCTCCCAAATGGATCCCGTATTTTGGGATACTGGGCTCCCCAGTAGGGCCCTAAACCTGGCTCCTATTAATTGCTGTCAAAGAGTCACTTGGGATAACATAAAGGGATTCAAGGCTCTTGGGGATTTCATTCTTCTTATTCGGGTTCAGCCAGTTCTGACTAAGTAAGTAACAATTCAGAGTTAACGCCAAAATTCATTTGAAACAAAAAAAAGAAGAAAAACGTGATGAAAAAGGCTTTATAGGGAACCAGCAGTTAGCGTAATGGCTATGTCGCTGGACTCCCACGTAGTTGACTGCGGTTCGTGTCCTGGACCCGGTGGCTTAAAACTCACGCCGGGCGCGTGTGTGTGCGTGCCCAAGATCCCGAGAGGAGAATGGAGGAGAAGGGATTGCAGTGTGACCATCCCCCCTGGGGGTGATTTCTCGCTTTCTGTCTCTATGTCTCTTTCTGTCTGTCTGGCGAGCGCACGCGCCCTACAGTGAAAATCTCTCTCAAAAAAAAAAAAGGCTTTATAAAACCAAACTACTACAGAGGTGTAAGATCATGTTTGGGTGTGTATGTATGGGGGTCCTATGAGGGAGTCATACAAATATGAAGGTAAAATCTGAGTTCATTTTGGTACAGGGATTTTTTTTAAATCCATGCATGGTTTTTCCATAATGTACATACTCTATGAATACGTTAAAGACTCCTTGCATATGTGCGTATGCGTGTTTGTTGGAATAAGTTGTAAATCAGGTATAAGAGTGTGTTCTATTAAAAAGACCAAATTTTTGTCTATACCAGGTTACTTATGGTTGTTTCCAAAATAAACATATTCAAAACAGAAACAAGGTAGGTAAGTAGGAAAGAGGGACACCCAGAGGAAGTTCTAGGAGTGACAATGTATTCATGGTAAGAAAGGTGGAAAAAAAAAAATAGAGGGGCCAGCAGGTGGCATAGTGGTTAAGATGCTGGATTCCCATGTGGCTATGTCGCTGGACTCCCACGTAGTTGACTGCGGTTCGTGTCCTGGACCCGGTGGCTTAAAACTCACGCCGGGCGCGTGTGTGTGCGTGCCCAAGATCCCGAGAGGAGAATGGAGGAGAAGGGATTGCAGTGTGACCATCCCCCCTGGGGGTGATTTCTCGCTTTCTGTCTCTATGTCTCTTTCTGTCTGTCTGGCGAGCGCACGCGCCCTACAGTGAAAATCTCTCTCAAAAAAAAAAAAGGCTTTATAAAACCAAACTACTACAGAGGTGTAAGATCATGTTTGGGTGTGTATGTATGGGGGTCCTATGAGGGAGTCATACAAATATGAAGGTAAAATCTGAGTTCATTTTGGTACAGGGATTTTTTTTAAATCCATGCATGGTTTTTCCATAATGTACATACTCTATGAATACGTTAAAGACTCCTTGCATATGTGCGTATGCGTGTTTGTTGGAATAAGTTGTAAATCAGGTATAAGAGTGTGTTCTATTAAAAAGACCAAATTTTTGTCTATACCAGGTTACTTATGGTTGTTTCCAAAATAAACATATTCAAAACAGAAACAAGGTAGGTAAGTAGGAAAGAGGGACACCCAGAGGAAGTTCTAGGAGTGACAATGTATTCATGGTAAGAAAGGTGGAAAAAAAAAAATAGAGGGGCCAGCAGGTGGCATAGTGGTTAAGATGCTGGATTCCCATGTGGGTGACCTTGGTTGGAGTCCGGGACTCCTAAAGACACAGCCTTGGTGGAGCTATCCTTGGGTCCCTTAAACCAGGTCTCTAGAGGTTTCTGCTCCTGGCAAGCACGGACAGCAGCTCCACCTAACATGAAACAGATACAGAAGATGGACCTCTGCTGCTCAGCATCCCTAATGAATAAAGGAGTGGAGGGACCAGCAGTTAGAGTAATGGCTGTCACTGAACTCCCATGTAGTCGACTGTGGTTCGAGTCCTGGACCCAGTGGCTTAAACTCATGCCGGGCACGTGTGCGTGCGTGCCCAAGATCCCAAGAGGAGAATGGAGAAGAAGGGATTGCAGCGTGGGGGGTGATTTCTCGCTTTCTATCTCTCTGTTTCTCTCTGTCTTTCTGACGAGTGCACATGCCCTATAGCAAAAACCTCTTAAAAAAAAAAAAAAGAATAAAGGAGTGGAAATCTCTGAGGGGGGAATAAGAGGGTAGCTAGGAAAAAGGGTTAACAATTGAGAAGCAGAGCAGCAAGGTCAGCATAGCAGGAAGATAAGGATGAGTTTCACTGGAGACAAAGGCCACAGACAAAGCTAGGAGTGTTAAATATCACCTCTCTAGGTGGAGACTTAAGACGCTAAGGATACCTGTGATGCGTGAACAGCTACCACCCCTGTGGGGCAAAAACCCTCCTGTACAGGCCTTGACCTCACAGCTTCCTTCCCAGTGCCCCAGGTTAAGTCCCTGAGCCAGCTGGAGGGGGCCTCGACTGCTCTGAGTCAGCCTGCACTCGTTGTGGTGTGCAACTGTCTTAGCTCTTCTTCTTTGCCTGTTTCTGACTTGCTCTTGAGTTCTTTCCTGAGTGAAGTTAGGAACCCTTGCCCTGAAGAGGGGTCCCCGGGTCCTGGTGACAGAACTAGGATTCAAGTGCAGGTTTTCCTGATCCTACTGCTCCTCCTGGTGGGTCTCCCTCCTCCTGGGCAGGACCTCTCTGGTGTCTAGAAGGCAGGCACTCACATGGCTTCCTCTCTCATCCCCAGGGCTTCCAGGAGACCTCCAGTGATGTCTAACTGTCACTCTCACGGACCTCAAGATTTCAGACATGAAAGTCTTCTCATGGCCCCATATCGCATCCGCAAATACCGGGAGAGTGACCGCGAGTGGGTTGTGGATTTGTTTTCCGAGGGGGTAGCAGAGTATGCTCCCATCACCTTCCGCCACATCCTCAAGTTGCCCCGAACCCTTGTGCTCTTATTTGGAGGGCCTCTTGCCGTACTCCTGGCCTCTGGTTCCTGGCTACTCGCCCTTGCCACCAACCTTACCCTCCTTGTCCTTCTGAGGCTCTTTGCCAAATATCCCTGGAATGAATTTAAAGTCCTGGTGTTGCAGTCGGACATGTCCGACATCACCAAATTCTACTTGTGTGACCATGGCTCCTGCTTCTGGGTGGCTGAGTCTGAGGAGCAGGTGGTGGGCATGGTGGGAGCTCTGCCTGTTAACGACCCCACCTTGTGGAAGCAGAAGTTGCAGCTGCTTCACCTCTTTGTGGACTCTGGGCACCGAAGGAGAGGGATAGCAAAAGCGCTGGTCAGGACTGTCCTCCAGTTTGCCCAGGACCGGGGCTACCGTGAAGTTGTCCTTTGTACTTCCATGCTGCAGCATTCCGCCCTGGCCCTCTACCGAAGCATGGGCTTCCAGAAGACGGGTGGGGAATTCTTTTCCCTGAGCTGGAGGCTAGTGGCTGTTCCTACGTTTTTTTTAGTTTATCGCCTCCCTGTGATCTAGTTCCTTGCATGATAGGATCCACTTTGCTGTAGTAACAAGCAAACCCTGACATTTCAATGATAAGCACAGGAAAAGCTTACGGGTCATTCACACTAGAGTCCAGCATGCTTGATGGTGGCGGGGGGGAAGAGGGCTCTGGTCCATTCAGTCTTCTTGGGTTGCCTCTGTTTCTTTTATCTAGTGCCCTGATAAAGTTATACTAAAAAAATCCTGCAAATGATAATAAAGTTATTAGCTCATGAAGCTGTGGGTCAGCAATTTCAGTTGGGCGTGGTGGGCAACTCTTTTGGATTCAGTAAATGAGTTCAAATGGCACGGTGGGCTGGAGTGACAGGGTAACTGGACTTTTTCGTCTTCCAGCAGGCTAGCTCAGGCATGGTTTTAAGGTCACTGCAGGGGAGCAGAAGCGGAAACAAGCAAGTGCTTTTCCAAGAGCCCCCCTCCCACCCCTGAAGACGTTGCCTCTCTCACACCCACAGGCCTGGACTCGGTCCCCTCCATGCTGACTGGCTCCCTACAGCCTCATTGGTTACCCAGTACTCTCTGCCAAGCCACCGGAACCACCTGGGAAACTACCCCCAAGCCCCAAGGTTTCCTATCTAGCACCTGTGGCCTCAGTGTGGCTCCAGCTTCTTCAGTAATTAGTGGTAGGGCCCTTCGGCCTGGCCTCTCTTCTGGCTGCTCCCACTAGCGCTCCTCATCCGGTGAAGCCAGTAGCCTTCAGAGAAGTTCCCAAGTGGGCACTGGGCTGATGCCAGGGATGAGAAGGGAGGTCCTTTGCTTTAAATGTTTTATTCAATAATTACAAAATGGTTTTAGTAATTGTGGGTAGACATGGTTTCGGCCCTCCTGCAGCTCGTAGACCAGAGGGGGCTGAGGGGCCAAAGAAGAGGCAAGGATGGATGCACTGCCATAGTGTGGAGTGGGGGTTCCTTGGTACAATGGGACATCAACAGGGCCTCAACCCCCACTGGCAGAGGGTTCCCCAGAGGGAACAGAGCTTGTTTCTGCAAACACAGAA